TTTCCTGCAGGACTAAGATTCAAATATTGGAGAACCTTGGCTTTGGTTCAGAGAAGCACCTGGAAGCTTGGATGCATCTATCAGAACCTCTCCAGCTGAGTAGGAAACTCATAAAATAGGCTTTCTTAAAATAATGTTTCATAGTCCCGGATCCCAGAAAATGTTGTCATACCCAGATGTCCTTCTGCATTTGGTATTCCTGCTTTTAGATAAGTTTACTCCAAGACACGGTGAGATGAGCACAAATTTAAAAGGAAGGATGAAGCAGAGACAGACACAGTTGGTAGTAGTTTGATTTCTGAAATCAGGTTGAATGTTAAGGAGCATTTTCTGTGATCAGTTCATCCATTTATAAGCTTTCCAGCTGACTCGAGCTGTTCTGTATTTATGCTATGTAGGATTTATGGACTGATATGATTAGAAAAAAGTGATTTATGGACTTGAATATGCCTTTACTATCTCAAGTACAAATTAGGAGTAAAATAAAATTACTGTGAGAATGAGACCTGTATTTTTTTCACCTACACTCCAGTCTAAAGATTATATTCTGGGATATCATGCAAAGGTAGAGGTGTTAGCAAGATACAACTAAGTTGTGAATTGCCATGCAGAGATGTAATATAGAAAACCCTTATGTGTTGTGAGCAATTCTATTTGGTTTGCCCTTGAACAAAATATTTCACTCAGATTTCTCACAAATACTGTTGAGAAGAATTTCATTGGCTCTCCTGTAGTTATTTGGGCTTGCTTGCTTCCCTGAAATCTTACATTTGTGAATGTATTCATCTCTGTATACATTCTCTTTTCCCTCACATATATTTGCTTTCATTTGTGAAAGTCACATTAGTGGGGTTTTTATCTTGTCTCTAAGGAGGTGTGGCACATTGCAGTGTATTAAATTTGATATTTAAATTATCAATACAGATATGCCGCACTCTATAAAATGCAAACACATCTTGGAGAAATTAATAATTTCCGGGGGAAAAATTAAACTTATAATTCAGTCAAGGCAGTTCTGTTCTTTGTTTATCAGACAGATAGTATACTATCTTAAGAATATCTGGAACTCATCTGTAATAAAAAGTTGTCATTCCTTTATACAAATAACATAATTAAATAATACAAACCCTTAACAGAATAAAAGATGTTAAACTGTATTTTTCACTCAAAACAGATTATAATTAGTTCCTAGCAGAAAGTTGCCTTGATACAATCTATTATTTTCTCACTATTGTGACTGTTGTTGATGGGCTAAGCTGCAAAGTGGGTACATACAATCCCACTCCCATTCATTGCTATTTAGAGTATGTCAGGTGTCCATTTTAGAAACAGACAAAAGCATCATTTGCCTGATGCAAATTGTGAAGCGATGCTTTACCTATGCAAAGCCTGTATTTCTTTTCTTTTACAGACAGAACTTTAGAGACCAAATCGCATACTGTGGAAAAATATTTGAAGGTTCAGCTTCAGAAAAGAAAGAAACAGGAACATGTTTCATGCTCCCTAAGGCCATTTTAGAGATTTTTCCTGTTCTTTCAACAGTCTGTAATGGAAGAGCATACAATTGCTTGTGTATATATTCACTGGGAATGGCTATTTAATCTTAATTTCTGAGATCAAGACCCTAAATACAAGACTGTCATAATACAAGACTGTCAAATACACCATAAAGCTGCTGCAGCACCCAAAAAGTGTACATAAGCTGTAGCTGAGCAAGCAGCAAAGCTGGTTCTTGTTCCTCATGAATGGTGGCTCCAAAGATCACATCCAATTTCTGTTCATTTCTGGGTGGCAAATAAGCCTTCCTGACTGCAGAAGTTAAACCACCTGCATTGTTAAAGTTTTGTTTTGACAGTAATAGGAATTAATTTTAGTTCCTTTTTTGAAGTAGGGATAAAGAGGTTTATCCAAATACATACTCAGCAACTGCATCAATAGGTTCTAATAACGAATTATCCATTCAGTCCTACAATAATTCACTTTATCTCTGACTACTCCCAGTGAATTATTTATATAGTGACACTTATTAGCAAACTGCCATTTGCATCACTTTTACATTATTGTTTTCATTATTAATTTACTTTTAATAATTCTTTAGTGCTTAGTCTCATCAATAAAGAGAAACAGATGGAGCCTATGAAGTGCTTAACCTTATCTTAATTCTGTATCCCTAACACCATTGCCTATAGCACAAGGGTAGATACATAATACATTAACTGACAGTTCTTTCCTTTTGTACATTCCCTTGTCTCCTTTCTCTCCTGTTTGCCAATATCCCTGAGTTTGTTCTGTAAAAGCAAAGGATGATTCCCTATTAATGACTATTTAAATAACAGAATTACATTACTATTGTACTTGCTTCTTTCTGTCCCAGACAATGACTATGAATTAATTAGCATTAGAACACTGGAAATTCCTATGAATTTAACATTATATTCTGTGTGCATTATTGAATGATTTTACACTTCCTAATGCAAAACTGATGATATCTCTACAAACCTCAGGGGGAGTGCGTGAGGTCATTAAAGTTAGATTTGCAAAGAAAACGTGGATTTCTTGCTCACATTATTTTTTCCTGTGCTGATAATGCTATTTTTGAGCTCTTGTTCAGAGTGGCTCATTTGTATTGAAAGATTCTTTTACCCTTTATCCTATCAATCTACCTTTCCAAACTTTTCATTTCATGAGGGAAACAAACTGTGGTTTTTCAATAATTAAAACATTTCTACAGGAAAACAAGAACTTACATTTTCAGATCGTAGTGTTGTCTTCAGAGATAACAAACACAGAAGGGCAGCCCAGTGTGAGAAAACATACATACAAGTCAGAAATGAAAATAGCAATTTACACCATGTCTTCTTCCTGTCTTCATTGCTGATAGCTTATTTTCTCTGTGAAGGAGGATTCCAGCAGTAACGCTGGTGTTTTGTCATCCAGGCATCTACATGGGGATTAAAATGATGAAGTTTTGTTAAAAATTCTCCCTGGAATCCTAAGTTTGCTTATATTTCTGCTGATTGTTTGTTATTATTTTTGTTTTTAAAACAAAGATATTTTAAATTCATGGGAGCTCACAACATTATTAGCACCCTGCCAGTGACTGAGGGAGAAACACTGGCAAATGCAATCCCTCCTGAAAGCAATTAATCTCTCTGTACTACTTACTGAGCAAAATCTTAATGTGTGAAACCAGGTGAATTGCTTAAATAGAATTTTTTCCATCAGAATCAGGTAGTATTTCCATAACCTACATTTTTTTGTTTTAAAATAACCTCTTTTTTTTTTTTCTGAAGTAAATAGCAATATGTATTTCAGCTTAAATTTACCATTCTGTATTAATAAAATTTCGTAAAATTTATAATAGTTAAGTAATATATTCTTGAACAGGGAAGAAAAATCCTGGCTATACATCCAGAACCAGAGATTGTTGAAATGATTAAACAGCTTTTAACAGCAGACAAAAGAAATGTTTTCTTCATGTCAGTTTGATTTACTTCAATAACTAGTTCAAAGTTAAGGAACTGCTTAGAAATAGAATAAGCTGAAGCATCATTATCTTTAAATGGTCTATGAATAAACTCTCAGTCTGGGATGCTGAGACTTATGAATTCATTCATTAGCTGTATGTAAAATTAGGCTTGGTAATAAACCAGTTTTAAGTATAAATTGTTTGATACATTTTTCCTCTGTATACAACATTTATTGCAATTTTATTTAAATAATAAATACACTTGAAAGGCTGGGATTTTGCATTTCAATTGCAAATTCCATTTCCATACAAAGCAGGTTGATATGAGTCATAAGTAAATAAAAATTAATCTTCTAGTAAAGCAGAATTATTATCATTTCTAACAGAATGCTGTGTAAGTATTAAGCATTTGAATAATTATGCTGAACTATACCACTTCTGAAATGGGAATGTAAGGTATGTTTCTGATAGTGTATGGAAGTAACAGATTAGTTTAAAAATTAGATTCAAACTAACTTTTTTTCTTTTTTTTTAATTTACCTACAGACAAGGGTCAAAGTCCCTTGAGGAGAAAAGAATAATACACATTCAAAATAAATATAAAATGGTCTTTTTAAAAAATAATTGGTTTACAGTTTTGGTATTTTTGTATTTTTTTGTATTTTCACAGAACTAATGTCTGAAATCTTATGAGAAATAATTTCTTATTCAATTCTTTAAATAATTTTGAAGTTTTACCAAAATATTATAGTTTAGGGCCTTGTAAGTAGGCAATTCTGTGATATATGGGAGATAGTATGGCTATATTGCTATATTAATCATAAACCCCTACTTTAGGAGCATCTTTACTCAGAATTTTAATTCAGTAGACAATTCCAACATTTCTAAAATAAATTTAATTTCCAGCTGAAAGAAAATAAGTTTTGACATTTTATACTTATTAAAATTCTGTTTAAAATATCAAAATGGGCATTTTTTTTTCCCTTAGCAAGAGTAAAGCAATCAGTTTACATTTTCATGTAACAAGAGTTGCATAAATTTATTTTTAAAATGCAGATTTATGCTCACATTGTTATTGATTTATTTTATATGTATATGATGCTGACATTTTAATTAGAAAGACTTAGTTGCTTTATATTAGTTTTCCTTAATGATTTATCAAAATCAGAACATTCATATTCTTTCTTGAAAACAATAACGACAGCAGGTCCCATTAAATCACAGAGCTGACAGAGACGCCCATCTCCAATTTACTCAAGGTTGTGAATTAGTTAATTTGTTTCAAATGTGTAATTGCTAGAGAAGAGGTTCAGAGTGTGGTTTGATGACCACTCTGGTTTTTGTGTATCCAGCATTGTAAGGGCAATGAAATCTCAGCTGTTGAGGTCCATTTCTCTGAACTAAAGGAGAAGGAGGAGGTTTTATTATGTCAGTGATGTAGAACGTATTTAAAGCAGCAAAGATCTCACAGGTTTCAGCCAAGCACTGACATACTGATTATGTCTTAACTGCATCTCCTGTTTCCTCCTAGGTCTTACTGCTGCAGCATCTCTCGTATCCCTGGCCTGGGCTTTGGCTTCCTACCAAAAGGCCCTCCGTGACTCCCGTGATGACAAGAAACCCATCAGTTATATGGCTGTTATAATCCAGTTTTGCTGGCATTTCTTCACAATTGCAGCAAGGGTCATTACTTTTGCTCTGTTTGCCTCAGTTTTCCAGCTGTACTTTGGAATCTTCATCGTGTTGCATTGGTGCATCATGACCTTCTGGATCGTTCACTGCGAGACAGAGTTTTGCATCACTAAATGGGAGGAGATAGTTTTCGACATGGTTGTTGGGATAATCTATATCTTCAGCTGGTTCAATGTCAAGGAAGGAAGGACACGCTGTAGGCTTTTCATTTACTATTTTGTCATCCTTTTAGAAAACACTGCCTTGAGTGTTCTCTGGTATCTGTACAAAGCCCCTCAAATCTCTGATGCATTTGCCATACCAGCACTGTGTGTAGTGTTCAGCAGCTTTTTAACAGGCATCGTTTTTATGTTAATGTACTATGCCTTCTTTCACCCCAATGGACCAAGGTTTGGGCAGTCACCAAGCTGTGCTTGTGAGGACCCTGCCACTGCCTTCACCCTACCCCCAGAAGTGGCCACAAGCACGCTAAGGTCCATCTCCAACAACCGGAGTGTCACAAGCGAGCGGGATCAAAAATTTGCAGAGAGGGATGGGTGTGTGCCTGTGTTTCAGGTGAGACCCACTGCACCATCCACACCTTCATCCCGGCCACCAAGGATTGAGGAGTCTGTCATTAAAATTGATCTGTTCAGGAACAGGTACCCAGCATGGGAGAGACATGTGTTGGACAGGAGCCTGAGGAAGGCAATCTTGGCATTTGAATGTTCCCCTGCTCCTCCACGGCTACAGTATAAAGATGATGCCCTTATCCAGGAGCGCTTGGAATATGAAACCACATTGTAAACAAAGCAAAAACACGGCTTGAAGAAGCTCCAGTGTTACAGTCCAAATTAAGGGTTGACAGTAGGGCTGTAGGAATAAATAAACTGTGTACTACAAGTAGAGAAGCAAGCTATAGTGTTCTTAGTCTGGCTATCATCATGATTATCATTTGATCCACTGTGTGCAGTCTGTCTGCAGGACACTGATACAGCAGCATCATCTGAAAGCCTAAAAAAACTTTGACCCACACATACAGATCAGTTACTTCAGCTGGGGAAACTCACCCACGACCCCTTGCTGCTATGAAACTCTAACTGCACAGTACTTACAACCAAACAAGAGCTTTCAGCTTTAGCCAGTAGTGCATTTTATTTTAGAAATTAATGATTGATATTTCCATAATCAATGGCAAAAATAAACAAAACCATACCTTTTCAAAAATAACAAAACTAGCACACAGTGTTGCTGTTATGAAAACTGTTTTCTGGGGAAAAAAATAGGAACATAATAGTTTTCAACACTCCCATAAATCAACCATTAAGGTTAGGTTAGGTATGCAAAATAGTTCTTAATTAAAAAAATACATTATCATGTTTGTAAGACTGTCAAAGGAAAGTAAACTAAATTTTGATTAATTAGATCATAAAAATTAATACTACCAGAATTGTTTGTTTTCTGTAGAATTTCAAAGTCTTTTTAAAATAAAATTTAACTTCTTGATGTTACTTTCAGCAGAAATCCTATGCAGCTCACTTCTGGTTTTCAGAAGAAATAAGGAGCTCTAACATGTAGTGATATACATTAAATGATAATCATGATTCAGTGTTCAATTTGAAAAAAAAAAAAAGTGAAAGAACAGGGAAGTATAGTTTTCACATTCTAAACTTTTTGGAGGATCCCATTCAGACATTTCAGAAGAAGCTACAAGGAGATGAACACACTGAGACTTCTCTGTTTCAGGACTGAGAATGCATGATTCAGTGTGTGAATGTATGCAGGGGTGACAAGAGACTGTGACATGCCATACCCTTCTAGTGCCAAACATTGTATAACTGCAAGGTTGATATTGCCTGAGGGACAGATAACAAGTGGCACAAGCCCTACCAGAAAAAGAAGCAGGGAAGACCAAACAAGTTCTCAACATGTAGAGACAGCTCTGATTTTTCCCAACCTAAGGTGAAAGTGGTGTCTTTTAAAGGCTTTCAACCACCTGTTAGTAAGTATATTCACAGAAGTATAATATAAGAAAGTTATGTGGAAGAGTCTCTTCTGCCTGTTCAAGACTTTTGTCCAGATGCGTCTAAAAATTGCGTTGAATCTCTTGTAATAGAGTGCTTTGCTGCAAGGTTTTGGGTTTTAAATACCTCCCTAAATCTAGTCAATGGTATTATCCTTCATGTTAAAAGTTCCCCTGATGGTGCTTTCAAATGCATTAAAGGTGCAAGTCAAAATTTGATAGTATTTTTTTTAAATCTGGTGCAGAGTGAAAAACTCATGGATTATTTCGATATTTTTGTAAGCTAAAAATATGGTATAAAAGGTTACTTTTTATAAACCTCAAATCTTTTAATACATTTCATTCTCTTTATAGCTTAGATTTTAATAATTGGTCCATGAATTTTATCAAATGGCTTTTTCAGGTTGATGTAAACCTGGTTTTCACACATTATGGATTTGTTTTGCAGTGTAATGCCATATGAAAGCCTACATGGGTACTTTTAGAATACCCTATAAACTGTGGATCCTGTTTCAAATGTAAGTGGCTTGTAAAGACACCAAGTGATTCCATAAGAAAAAATTTGCTATAACTATTTCCATCCATTTTAGGACAGAGAAGCAGAACTGAAGAGTTATTGTTGTAAATGGCATTGTCAGAATGGAGAAGACCTGATGATTGGTATTGTAATCTTCACTGTCAGATATATCCAGTGTAGTCACTGCTGTATATGCTGCTGGATTAATTTCAGTCTTTCCTATTATGAATATTTGTACTATGAAATGGCCAAGGTTACACCGACTATGTTTATTTGTATGTGTTCAATTAGCCATTTTTAATGTTGACTTTTTTTATTAGTGAAATGTTCAATACCTGTTGTTCTTTGCTGGGGCAAGTTCCTCAAAACAAAAAAAAAATCTGTGAAAGTGCAGGAATCTGCAAGGCAGAGGGAACTTTACACAGATCAGAAAACACCCATACTTCAAGGGTTTCTTAGGTATTTTCAAATTAAACAGTAGGCAACTGCCTCTATAATAATTTTTTAAATAAAAAAATTTTTTGATAGTCCAAACCTGAAGCTTTGTACAAAGTGATTGCCCTTCTCTCCATGAACATATAGCTGATTATTCAGAGAAAAGCACTCATGTTTTGTCAAAAAATATACCAGTGCAAGAACTGCTAAAAAAAAGGTTTTTGAAGCAAGTCCTTTGTCCTGTTAAATTCAGTAGAGCCTTCACTCCAGAATCAAATGCTAGCTCGCACAAGGAAATTGCTGGTTTTCTTTACAAACAAGGCAAATGGTAAGCTTTGTGATCCAAGATGTGTTTCTTTTGGAAACAGTTGAATGTGTTTGCTGCTGCTTTAACAACTCAGAAATTTAAGCCTGAATGAGGCGCAGTGGGCAGCCTTTACAAGCTCTACCCACCCTCTGGTACCTCCTGGGGAGAGGGGCACATCACAGCTGTCAGTGAGGCTTGTCCTGTGCTGCTGTCCCTCTCATCCCCTTGCTCTTCCTCAGAGCTGTGAGCCCTTTGGTCAGGGCTTAAAGAATTGAAGAACCGTTCCTTCCTACGAAATTTAAAGTCTGCACCAGTGCTTGCTTTGCAAGGTTGCTGAAGAAGTTTTGGGGTGAGTTTGTTTGATTTGCTCTTGTTTGGTTTTGGAAGGAAGGACACAGAGGTATTATTTAGCCATGTGGGTTTTCATGCCTAGCATTTACTTTCTTTACTCTCTCAGCATTTTCGATTTTTTTAAATAATGTTTGTAAAAGTGTTTATCTTAAGCAAACTACTACTGCAGGGTCTGAGTGCAGAGTAACATACACACACACACATATATATATATAAATATATATATATATGCACAGCACTATATATATGCATCTTGTCCTAAGAATTCAGTCTCGCTGTTTGAGGGAGGGAGAGAAATCAATATACACTGAGTCAAAATTTGCTCTCCAAAATCTTACTCTGTTACATTCATAATATCAGTGATACTTGCACTGAGAACAGGGTGGCCATTGAAATCTTAACACTCAGATGACTACGTGGACAGTTTCATGATTCGCATTGCTGTGAATAGTTACATTAAAAGCTGTAAGAACTTTTTATAGAAATTGCCAAGATTAAACATCATCCACGTTGAAATTCCACGATGGCCTTAAGGAGAGCTAACAATCAATATGCACTATTCTTTTTACCACAGACAGTTTTAAAATCAATAACATTCAATTAAGACAGCAATAGCAAAAAAAAAAAAAACAACAAAAAAACCCAAACAACAACAACAAAAAAAAACAAAACCCAAAAAAAAACCATCCAAAAAATTGTAAAGAAAATTAACTTCTGCTTTTGAAATAATAAAAAAAAATCAGGCCTTTTAAATTTCATTACAGAATACAAGAAAATAAAATGTTCATATTTTCATATTCACATTCTGGTAAAGAAAAGCAATCACATCTCTTTGTTAGAAGTAAGAATTATGAAAGCATTGTTCTACTGAACAAAAAAAATTACCAGTGGATTTAATGATAACTTATCTGGTTAAACACTTGGTCCTAAACTTTTGAGAGTCTGTATTTGTTACAGAAAAAGCAATTCAACTACAATTCACTACTCTAATTAGATAAAGAAGAGGTAATGTATACCAGGTTCATTCAGAAAACATATAAAAAATATAACATAAAATTTTTGTCTTATTTTAAAAGTTATTTGTTCTGTAATAAGATAATTTTTCTGAAAAAATTCTTTGCAAATATGTGCAATACCTTTTTCCTGCATATTTAATAATGAAAAAAGTAATTTCTGATTTCGTTTATGTCAATTTAAATATGTTTCTTGTGCTAGAACAATGTTTCTGTACTTGGGCTATATGGCTTTGATGACATATAAACAACATTTTTATTGACAAAACAACAAATTCTCTATTAATTAATTTTTATAACACTGGAGAAAATTTTCCTTCCAAAATTCAATGCTAGGCCTCATCTGCCTGATTTTGTAAACTTTTAAGCAGAGAGGGTAAATTACAATTTTATTGGAGATGTAATTTTTAATATGTGGTGAATAACTATTACACCTGTATCAGTTTAAAACATACAATGGTCTAGCCAATACATCATTATTTCCCCAAAAGAGCAATTCGTAAGTGGTAGTAAAAGTAAAGGTGCTGCTTTATTTGGAAAGGGACTTCCAATCATGCAATATGTTCATTTACTTTTTATTGGCCAGCAGATATTCACAACCAGCCTTTTGGGTTTTTTAGAACACAAATTAAACAATTTTGAAGTCTTTGTGATTTGATCATATAACTCCTTAAGAGCCTTAAAAGTGGCACTGCACTGAGTTTTAGTTGGCTCTGCCAGTGATTCAGCTCCCAAAGCCGCTGCTGCCATTTCTCTGCTCCGTCCCTGAAGTTGTGCAATCCAGAGTGACTGAGATGCTGAGATTTGCTTTGCATCCCCTGCACTGCCTGCACAGTGCCAAGTAAAAGACTTCAGCAGATTTCTGTGGTCCTGCTGCTGCCTCTCTTGCTCCTGTGCATGGTGGGAAGCAGAGTAAATTGCATCTGTGGATCTATTTAAATGAGCTTATTTACGTTGAGCCCCTACAAGATGTGTGTGATGAAAATAATTGCAACACGTGTCCATGAATTTGCAAGCCCAACACTGCAATTACTAATTCTGTAGCATAACAAAGCAGAACATGGGAAGAATTGTCTAAACACACAATAAGCTGTTTAATTTTGCTAATTGTAGCAATTAGACTAGCCTGCATGAAGCCTGTGCTCTCAGTAGAAAGCCAAATAGAGTAAATGGCAAAAAGCCATTTATATACCAGACATTAAGTCATGAATTCCTCCTTTCCTTGTTATAGAACTATGTCTTCTCATTATGATGTTTAATTGATTCTTCTTTATTCTGACAAAAGAGATAAAATGCAAAATAAGAACAGATTCTTTTAAATCTGGGAATCAAAAAAAAAAACCACAACAGATTACTGCAGTTAATATGTAGTGATTTTTTGAAACAAATTCTGTCATTATTTTCACTTGGCTGCAGATTGCTGAGCAATCCACTTCTGAGGTGATTTCTCACATCTGGTACGAGCAGATTTCATTACAGGAGAGACATTACAAAGCCTTGCTCGTGCAAAGTTCGAGGAATAGTGTCACTGATCAACAGATCGTTTAACAAGTGAGGGATCCCTAGGCACAATTTGTTTTACAGTAGTGACCTCAGTGCAGGACTTTTGTGAGATGTCTTCACTGATATGACAAAATCAGGTCCCTGGTATTGAGTGAACAACTGCATGAATTCAGACCACAGCAATGGAAGTCTTCCCCTCCTTGCTCCAAACTGAAGTCAGCTGGAGATTTGCTTCTTTCCAAAGAGCCTGCATGTCACTTGACTCAGCCAGAAATACATACTCTAAACTTAGTGCTAGCTCAGCATGAATCAAACATTTCTTCTTCTTTCCCTTTTAGTTCAAACATTTAAGAATATACCCACTTTGACACAGTTGCTGTTTCGTGATCCTTTTAAGAAGACTTTGAAAAATTCCTCTGAAACCAGTCATTTCCAGTGATTCTTATAAAAGCCAGTTGCTGACCAGCACATTCATTAAAAAGAACTTTTTCTAAATGTGTAAACTTGGCTCCTGCACATACATTTTGCTCTGAATGCTTAGGTTTCGTTCTTATGCAACAGATCTTAGGTACCCATTAGTAAGCTGTATGCCTACTCTGAATCCTGGGGCAAAGAGGACAGATATGCAAGATGCAGGGCAGAAAGTCCTCTTCAGCACATTTACAGGGTGATTTCCGTGAGCCAGAGACGTCAGAGAGAAGTTTGTGTATAATTACAACAGAGTTATACATGCTATATTCATTGATAGAGATTTATAAGAAATTGTGATATAAGTGGTCAACTAATAGATCAAATCTCAACTTTCACATGCAAGGCAATGTAAAAAAAAACCCAGCAAAGAAACTTTAAAGTGCAACCAAAAATCTCTTTTCGAGGAATGGTTGGGATAAACTTAAAAATATAACAGATTTGTCAGTGTAACTAGATGTCATATTCGTAAAAAGAAAGATAAAATGACTATGGGTACATTTTCTCTATCTGTAGATTTCAGCCTCTTATTTCAGATATCTTTGGAAGCAATTGCTTCTGGATCTTATTTCTAGGCATGCTGCAGCCCTAGGAATACTAGCAGCTTTTCTAGACAAGACCTGTTCTGCTATAGGAAAGTCCACATCCTTTTAACCAAGTGTTGAGTTTGGCATTGTTTACTGCACTGAACTAAACCTCACAAAAGCTTTTTTAGCATGAAATAGGTCTGTCCACTCAGCCATACACTGTGTAAAGGAACTGAAAAACAGAATTTCACTAGTAAGTGATTTCCTCAAGGTAAAAAAGCTGCTAGTTGAATGTCTAGAAGAGATTTCAGAGGCATAACACAGTACTAAGGCAAGACATAGACTGTTTGTGTGCTACGAGTCCACTCAGGGCAAGGCCTGGTCGTAGTCCAGCACTCCCTTCCCCACCTCATGCACCAAAGAGCCCAGAGAGAGAAAAATCAAGTGCATGAGCTGGATGAAAGCCACAAAACTCGGGGACCAGATACCCAGCACGTTGCAGCACACGTGTAGAGGTCTGCACAGGCACACTGGGGGCCTCAGACTAATACTGTGATCCTCCAAACTGCACTAACTAGCAGCTCCTGAACGTTTTTAATACCAGATGTTCGACCACATAAAATTTGGCTCCTTGACTTGGTCAGAAACAACTTGGTCTTAACAGCACAAGGTAGCTCAGCTCCTATCTCCCACTTAAGCCTGCCAGGATCCCCTGAGCATATATTCTTCTGCTTATTTTACCTGAAGGACTTGGGTCCTCTGGGGTGCTATCAGATGGAGCTTTGCACAGAAATACCCGTGACTGCTTTTCCAGCAGTAAATTGGTGGTAAGCAGAGACCAAAGGGAGAGCCAGATGCAGTTATCTCTTCAACTAGCAATGATTCATATCTTTAGCTACTATCTCTCAGGGGAAGGCTATAGGGCTGCACACTACTGAGGAGAAGGGCAGTGCTCCCTGCTTCATATTTTGAGGCTGTTCTTCCTCTTTGTGGAAAACATAAAAGTTATCCTGTGCAATGTAGACACACTTCTAGTATTTTGACATGTTCAGTCCCTGTAGTGTCGAGGGCTGAAATTGTTGAGCACATTCAGTGCCATTGCCTACATCCAGCAGTGTCTACAGGATACATCTGGGGAAGAAGCAAAATCACTCTGCTCACCTTCCAAAAGCCGTATGAACATGGTTAGCACTGTGACAAAGCCTGAATCTCTACATGCTGCCTTGAATCAGGTCTACTAATGCACTCTGTGCGAATGCACTGCTAACGCTGTGGCCACGTTCACCTGGTTTTTCATTGGAGCTCAGGCAGACTTTTTATGGGCACCAAAGCTGCAAGTGTAGCTTAGCTATAGTTGCCTGAGCCCAAGGTGCATACCCTTTGCAGTCCCTGTTCCTTCACCAAACAAAGATCAGTTTGGGCTAAGCAAAGGGCAGACAGGCTCTATGCTACCTAGCCAAGCATGTGGAGCACACATGGTTTTTCTGGATGGTACATTTGAACCACAGTTATGTGCAAATTGTCCAGGTTATGGTGAATGCAAGAAGTAAGTTAAGTGTCCACAGTTTGGAGCATGCTGTAATGAATACTCTCTGTGACAGTGTTTGTTTTTATCATAATAAAAATAGTACAATCTTATCTCATACTTGGGAGCAAATTTACAGTATCAAATGCATTTATATATATATATATACCTGTGTATATATGTGTGTGTGTGTGCATGTATACACATGACAGTGAGTCTTGAGATTCTATTAGGATTCAATCTTGCAATTAATTTAAATTCTAAGCCTAAACAAAAGGATCAAGAGCATTACCATCAAGGGTAATCAAGTGATAACTGCAAAAAGAAAGGACATTATTGGAAAATATATTCTAGTTATTATATTTGAGACAGCTTTGCAATGTATTATGCCAGCACTTTAACAAAAAGTTATGGAGAAAATATGTCTAATGCTATATTTCATAATCTTAAATATTTTGGTAAAAGAATAGAGTGGGGAAAATTTATATAAAATAAAGAAGGATCTATCACATTTACTTAATCAAAGAAAAAATCATAGGAAAATGGCAAAGGGATCAATTAAACTTTTATTTCATTTAACATTGGTCGTATTTG